CTTCATACTATGAAAGGCCATATGTCTCTTCAAAACTCTTGAGTAAATTCCTTATTGCATATTCCACATTTTTAAGAATGCTCTCTGTGACGAATCAGCATGTGTTTTTTCAGATTATTTAATCGTGGGAATATCTTATTGCACATAGTGCATTCATGGGAGCTTACCCTTTTGTGCATCAGCTGTATGTGACGATTCATTTTATCTAATTCTGTGAATGTCTTCTTGCATATATTGCATACGTGGGGGCGCTCACCATTATGAATGTTGAGCATGTGACCTTTCAGATTACCTATTTGTGTGAATGTCTTATTACAAATATTGCATTCATGGGGACGTTCTCCACTGTGAATAAGCATGTGAAGTTTCAGACTTTTTAATAGTGTGAATGTCTTATTGCATATATTGCATTGATGATGGGGGCGCTCACCACTGTGGATTAACATGTGACGTTTCATATGACTTAAACGTGTGAATGTCTTATTGCATACATCGCACTGATGAGGGCGATCACCATTGTGAATCAGCATGTGTTTTTTCAGATGATCTAATTTTTTGAATGTCTTGTTGCATTCATTGCATTCATGGGGGCGAATGAGCGAACCACTGTGAATGAGCATGTGACTTTTTAGATTACATACATATGTGAATGTCTTCTTGCATATACTGCATTGATGGGAGCGCTCACCACTGTGAATAAGCATGTGTCTTTTCAGACTACTTGGATGTCTAAATGTCTTATTGCATTCCTTGCACTCATGGGGACGCTCATCGCTATGAATAAGCATGTGAGTTTTCAAAGCAGTTGTTTCTTTGAAAGTCTTTTCGCATATACTGCATTGATGGGGGCGCTCACCACTGTGTATTAGCATGTGTTTGTTCAGACTGCTTGAATGTCTGAATGTCTTATTGCATTCCTTGCATTCATAGGGACGCTCATCGCTATGAATAAACATGTGAGTTTTCAAAGCAGTTGATTGTTTGAAAGTCTTTTCGCAGATTTCACATTTGTAAAGGTGTTCTTTGGTATGATTAGGCATGTGATCGACCATATGCTTTGTTAAATGATGGGATTCTGCAAATGATTGATTACAAATATCACATTCGAAAGACTCCTGTTTGACTTCATCTTCAATTGTCACCTCGGAATTCATAAATCTTTCTAAACACGTATCATCGTCTTCAGAAAACGATTCAGATTTAACAGTAACATCTTCAATTTCGAGTTTAATATCTTCCGGTATATATTCTGGCGGTTCAGTTTTAATTGCCTGATCATTCATAGACTTAAAAGTTCCTTCTGACATTTTGGAATATTTTCACTGCTTGTACTCACTAAATATTTAAAAACTATTCGTATTCTAACTAATGATCTGCTTTAATCAACAATCTTTTAAAATATGATAAATGATTTCAACAAAAATTTAATTCATTATTTGACACTTGAAGCATAGAGTATGTTTATAGAAAGATGAGACGTTAATCAAATGGCATTTACAAATGGCGCGTTTGTCGCTATGTGCGTGACTGCAGCGCCAGACTAAATATGAACTAAGGGAGGCTAACAACCATAGATAAGTGAACATCAGCTATCAGCATAGTTAAACAAGTATAAGGCTATCAGTATCAAATTGTTGAATAGGTAAATTGTTGAACAGATAGTAGCAGTGCTGGATTTACAGTAGGGGCAGTCGGGGCTACTGCCCAGGGCGGAAAATTTTCGGGGGCGGCAAAATTTCGAAAATACGTGCCGAAATGCCAAAAATGTAATTCAGTATTCGAGAAACGAAACGTCTAATCACATTTAAAAAAAAATTACATGTATAGACAAAATGAAGAACTGCTTAAATTTGTGGGAGGCAGGTCTAGCGGTTTCGGTGGTCCAATAAAAAAAATCGAAAAAAAAGAAATTGGCGGTCAAAAGTGATTCTTAGACATGCACATCAAATTGTCAGATATTTTATTAATAAGAATCAATTTTATTTACATTTCTATGGGTTGTGTAACATTATTTATCCATTATACCAAGCACCACTATTTATAATATGTAATGCGTGATAAATTTTCTGCAATCAAATAGTTATTTTACTTTTAGAAAAATGATATATAAAAACTATTTAAGTGAAAGTTCAGGGACGGGGCGGCATTTTCGTCAGTGCCCCAGGGCGCCAAATTTCTAAATCCGGCCCCGGATAGTAGTAACGTTAAACTAAATGTAATAAATATACATCTTTGTTCAACTTTTTAATTCAAACTAAATCACGGCAAAGCGTGAAAAAGTACAGCTAGTAATCTATAAAAAACATTTTCTCGAACATTTCATTATGAAATAAATAAAAATTAAATTTATGATTTACAAATAGAGAAAATAGATGCAAAGTAAACTTAATTGAAATTTCTATGTTTATTATTTATTTTTCATATGTTGAAGCTCTTCATTAACTCTCCGTCGGTCGGCGTGGTCTAGCCAGACTTTTTTCGACTTCAATTAAAATAAAAAAATACTTCTAGTAATCCTATCGACTTGAAATTTCTTGACATTTCCTTAAATTTAATTAGCTGTCGATCAATGAAAAAATCAGGACAAAAAAATGTACAGAAGGATAATTATAAAGATATTAACTTTTTTATACTTCGAACGGTCGGAAAGGTCTGTCTAGACCTCCCATACATTTTGTATGAAATATACGCTTTATGATATATGTAAACCTGTATTTTGTCTTTTTTCATAGTATTTTCTATTCAAACTGCGTTGTATATATTCTTTACTATGTGTTGTAACATGAATGTTAGTATTTTCATGAGGAGAGTTCCTTGAAAACCTACCAAACTTATTGGTAATCGCAAGCACTGAAAATCGGATGAGTAGTGCACACATTATCAACAATTTTTCTACCCGTACTGCGTTCGAAATTTTTTTTTGGCAAACCTGTAGTGAAATTATATTTTCACTTTGAGTTTTACAGCTTATTTCAAAGGCGACGCACCTCATTTCGTTTTCATTTGAATTTCACATTCATTTCAAAGGCGCCGAAAAAGAATAAATATTGTTTTTCATTGATATAAAACAGAAATATTAACAAAAAAGCAACAATTTTTTCATATTTGTTGATTCTTTTTATATAATACTAGCAAACCCGACGAACTCCGTTTCGCCACCAGATGGTTTCGTGAGAAAGATGAAGAAATTTTTTATTTGTTTTATATTTGAAAAGAAAAAAAAAGATCAGGAAGGAAAACCCGACTTATTTTTATATATATATAGAAGATAATCTATTTGCAATTATTTAAAACAATTATTGATTATTTTTATTACTCGAATTTTTAATCACGGTGCCTGAAGTTCCAGGAATTTGCATTAGGGCACGATGCCATGCACCACTAATTTTCTTAGCTATAAACCATGCGGAGCCCGAGACCTTTCTAACGAATGCAAAATTGTCGAAATCGGTTCGTGCGTTCTGGAGTTATTTCGTCAGGAAGGAAAACCCGACCTATTTATACGTGTATATATATAATATAATATGTAATATTTTTATTATAAGCAAGCTTAACACATGCAAAAGACGGTAAGAAATAGAAAAAACCAAAACTATAAATATTTACTACTAATAATCGTTAATATATACGACACCAAAAACTCATTTATCCCATATAAATGCATGTAAAATGAATGGTGGTCCAGCCAGACCTTTCCGACCGTTCGAAGGTGAAAAAATATCCGACCGACGGAGGGTTAAGCATTCAAAAATTAAATTGTTGTGGAAGTGTTATGGAATTACTAAATAACGTATATATTCAATAAATCCACAATATAGACTATTATTGAAATACTTTGTTATGAAACAATTATTTACAAAATGAAAGCTATTTTTAAATATTTATTACTCTACTTCAGAACAACTTTTTTAAATTAAATTAATCAAACGATTTGATATTTCAACCTGATCTATATAAGATTTTTTTTATTTTAGAAGATATTTTATTTGTTAACCTATATTTGTATAAGATGTTTTAAAATATAAATAAAAAAATAAATTTACATTAAGTTATGTAAGAACTTAAAACATTTGTGCCATAGAAATTTTGATAAATTGAATCACCTGTGCATTGCATTTCAAGAGAGAAGTAAATTATTGTCGCAGAGTCATTTCATATTGAGGAATATTATTCATTATTTAATTTCGCTTTACTGCAAGTGCTTCATTTTCTTAAATAATATCATCAATTGCCTTAAGCAGCAAGATGAAAAATTCTTATACAAGAAGAGGCATATTATAATATGCCTAACTATAGTTGTAGCATGATTATGTAAACTACGATAATTTGGTTTAATAATTACTACCAGTTTTGCTACTTGCTTCTTTCTATTGCGTGTTCCTGTTTCCAATTGTAATATACAGTCAAACCTCGGTTAACACGCCACTCTGGGTTCCCATACTACGCGGAGCTAAAATCGACATCCCTCCGACTACACGGACTTCCTATTACACGGTTTTTGTTCAACAGCCCATAATTTCTTCGAACAACCTATGAGTGATTATAGGAACTTGATATCAAAAGGGTATTAATGTAAGTTTTGTTATCGACTTTTATCTTTTAGACATTCCTGATTATATAATAGCTGTCTAAGAACAAGTTTGAACCGACTACGGCATCGCGCCAATTTTTGAATTAGGTGTCAATGTCCTACATGTCATTTCGTCCGTATTACTCCTACTTCAAGTTGTATTTCTTGGTCTCCATACAGCACGATAAAAATGGTGCGATTTGTACTAACTCTGAGTCTCTCATAGCACGGTTCCCATACTGCACTATATAAGTTTCCATAGAACGCTCTACGAATTAGCCTGAATTGTATGTTAAATACGAGTTTTTATAGCACTGTTCCCATATTGGACGGTACAGAGTACAGACTTGCCGCGTTAACCGAGGGTTGACTGTATATTTAAATCTCGTCCAACAACACTAATAAAACTGACATGAGTTATTTAACTTACAGTGAGTCCACTCCAATAAGGATTATGCCTCGGGTCCGCATTGGGTGCCCACATCAGAAGCCACAAAGCCAACAAGGACAGCGCGATCCCGGACGCCAATTCCATGCAGGCCAATGTCAGGGCTACTTTGTAAGGCCGAACCACGGGCGGCAAGTATTTCCGGGGCACTGGAAGATAAAAATATATGAGTATAAAAACAAAAACAATAATTTTTATTTTATTGCAGAAATAGTCTCTAATATTATTTTATATAAGTCTTCGCATATTTTTGGGGCTGCTAAAGAATCTGATTTTCGGTTTCGTGATTAATCTTGCTCCTCGTGCAGCAAAAAAATTATAACAGCATTAAAAAATGCATTATAATGACTATATATATATATATATATATATATATATATATATATATAATATATATATATATGCAGCTCTTAATATTAACTCTAACATAGTACGCACTCCAACAAAATTTCATGGTTCATCTTTTTAAGTAAATACTTTTTTATGAAATATATCAATTTTTTTTTACTTATTATCAAAACAAGCAAATACAATGTTCTTCTCAAAATTTTTATTCAATTGTCACTAGGTTATAAAATTTGGAGAGAAACATGAAATTTTACCCATGTTATTTCCATAGATACTTTGGTTGAAGTGCAGACTATCTTAAAGGTAATATTAAGAGTTAAAACTTTCAGAGAACTTTTTTTATCAATTTGAAAAAATTTGAGCCCCCGGTGCAAGCAAATTCAAAAACATCTATATTAAGGACCACCCTATATATTCATACTTCATATTTAGTTTAACATAATAATTATTATTTTTTGCATAGATTTATTGCTGATCAAAATAATATAATTAACGTAATTATAAACAGATTATAGTATATAGAGCAGAGCGAAACTTAGCGATCCGCGGGTAAAAAAGTTCACCATCTTCAAAACAAGTAAAAAGAATTTTTAAACAAAAATATTTGAAAGTACAAGAAAAAAAATGTATAACCAGCCATCACCTTGATTCTTATGATAGGTACTTTGCAAATGGCAATGTTTAAAAATCGAAAAAAAAATCGTTGTAACTTTTTTCTATTGTGAGACCTTAATATAATTTTTAAGTGTAACTCCGAGCGTCCGATTGTAATAATTTAAAGAACATTTTACTTGTATTGACAAGATGAAGAACTGAATAAATTTTTGGAAAGACAGATCCAGCGGTTATGGACTCTCAATAAAAATAAGTTAAAAACATGTCACTTGGCGGTCAAAAATGTTTATTCGACATATGTACATCAAATTACCAGATGTTTTATAGAGATTTGAATAATGTGTACACATTTTGTGTAATTTTTTTTTGGGTTCCCTACCAAGATTATTAATTATGGTACGGAAAGTTCCAGCAATTTGCCTCGAGGCGCGATTGTAAGTTATTTAAATGTTTTATAATATGAATTGTTATTTTCAAGTTAAATTCAACAGTTTTTTTTATATGAACTCTATAAAAGATTACATGTGGGTGAGGTGAAAAGGATCATCTGAGCTTTTACCCTGCCAAAGGTGTGAACGATAAGAAATAGTAAAAAAACAAGAAATAAGTTAAATAAATAGTTATTTTAACTCTACCGATGATTATTTCTGACAAAATACCAAATCAAGGTAAAAAATGTACCCATTAAATTTATATCTTTCATTGATTGAATAATGTAGCTATTATTTTGTAAAATCTCTTTAAAACTAAAAATAATACATTGGACATGTTTGGCCCTGGGTATCATTTTACACCACCCATGGGATAAAAAAAGGCCAGGTGACACATTTTTGAAAAACAGCAAAAAACACATTATTACAATGATTAACTGGGAGTTTTACTGAACATGGTAGGATAGTTGTTTGATGTGTGTTATTTGTTGTGTTATAATAGGTTTGGTTTTCACAATTTAAGTGCTCAAAGACAAATTGGACCTTTGTGCCCCGCCCTACCATATAACAAAAATACTACAATTTCTGGTTTTGTGATTAAAATAAGATACAAATTAAGCTTATGTTGTCTTCAATATTCTATACTAGTTATGCAAAGATTAAGACTTTAACAATGTTTCATTTTTTGCAATTTTAGTAGAGTAGTTTACGAAATTTAAAAAAAATAAAGTATAAATCTACACAATGCAAACATATTATTATTTGGGCACATAATGAATTAATCTTTGGTAGCCAAAAAGTTGTGATATAAATATAAATCTAATTTTTCATTGAAACAATTCGAAATAAATAGCTTCCAATAACAATTGATGGCGATAACGTTATTTGGATATAATATAGTGTCTACTGTCCATCAAATAATGGACATTTATTTGATATTAAACATTTAACGTCTGTCACATATTTGGAATGCTTTTATGCTCTGAATTATTTCTGTAATTTCAGTAATTAAATACCAACAGCGGCTGACGTTTATATTCGTTAAAGTGCATATGGTAATGGTATATTTGTATTAAATTACGTTTTATGTCACTAATAATGTTAATTACACGAACCATATTATAGTTGTGTGTTATAACCTGAAATTTGATAAACCGAAATCATATAAATTTGAATTTTCATTAATTGGTTCATTGGGCGAATATCCATTATTGTGGGTAGTGTATTAACATTTCCCAATATAAGAACCATGTCACAATTTATGGAAACAATTTGCTAAAGTTTAGAAAACTATTAATTAAAGTGATCATCAGGTATCTATATTTTGTGTCTTTGTTTCAAAATTAAACGATAAGTTCCTATATAATTTATATCCTTATTGCAAATTTTAAACAAGGTTGACAAAAATCTGAAATAATGTTTATTAAATAAATTTTATACTTTCATTATCAAATATTTTCCTTTGTAATCTCACCATTATTAATCGCTGTCGTTTATTTCTAATTGATAATCTAATAATAATTAATATTTTTACCGATCAAAAAACTAGTCGAACATTGCAAATGAAATTTAGGCTAAACGGGTATTGATTAGACTGTTAATAGTGAACGAATTTTATATTTAATATTCATATGTTTCTTTCAGCTTTATTATTTCAGAGACTGAAGATGTGCCAATTATTCTATAAAATAATTTTGCTTTAGTTTTTACTGTCATAAACTTTAGTATTACACCCCTACTATTAGACCCCTAAAATCATTTATGATTATTGCTTCATGAATAAATAAAAAAATAGTATATCATATAATTTTTTTTTGTTATAATTTATTTTTGTTAATCAAAACCTTAATGTCTTATCAAATAAATAATAAATAAATTTATAGCAATAACAAATGATAAATTAATTTAATATCTTGCGAAAACATAATTTTTTATTTGAAATTTTTATATGGAAGTCAATATATTTTTATATTATATTACTTTTATATTTTTATATGACACGGTGGAAATTTGTGAAATTACTCTTGAAAAATTGATCTCCAGGGGACTTAACAAAAATGAGAGTCCACGTTCTGATTTATTCCCAGTAGATATATTCTAGGGGGAATGCATCAAATTTAAAATGTATGATGATTTTTTTCTGGCTTATTTGAAAAAATATCTTAAATAGTTAAATATATTTAAAAAAAGTATGTTCAAATGAATATTTATTTTATTCAACCAGAAACTTCCTTTTGAGACGGATAATCTAATGAAAATGGTTTTTATCCAGTATCTATCAGGAATTTAATCCTGGAGCAATGATAATATTTTTATATAATTATTATTATTATCTAAAACCTATCTATCTTTAAATTATTATTAAATTTTTAAAATACATACACATTTTTCAGGGATACTGGATACGCTTGTGCCACTTTTTTTTTGATCAGCAATATTTTTGTTAGTTTACTTTGTACTTTTTAAAATCAGAAGCAACTTTTTTAATGTTAGGCATTTAATATTGAGTCTAAAACTCAGTACAATCAAACTATAGTTCTTGAAAACAATGATTGATTTTCTATTTGTCAAACTTTCGTATGTATTTACAATAAACTCAAATCAAATGTTACTAGATGTTATAAAATTCAATTCAATAGTTTTATAGTTTTTATATTTTGTTATAAAACAAACATAAATAGAAATATTTGGATATTTTAGAATCTTGATAGAAAATCTAATACATAAGAGTGAAATATAAATGAGATGGCAAATTATGGTTTTTCGCTCCAAAGCCGCCGGACCTGCCTTTCACTAAACCTTATAGTGTCTTATATTTTGTAAATACGAATCAAATGTTTTTTAAATGCTTTAGATAAGATCCTTCAAGAGGCTTCTTTAACATATAACAGTATCAGTATATAGAAAATATGAATACTTATCTGAACCGTTGAGATAATTATAAAGGAAAGTCCCGTAACACCGGACGGCACCTAATGCCGGACACTCTATTTAACACGTACTATTTAAGCGAGTATAAATCTTTTTATCTCAAAATACAAGTAAAAAGAGCGCGGGGGCACACAGGCGCAAGATCACGGCGCTTAGCGCCGGACTGTAAACATATTCATATTTTTTGTGAGAATTGACGTAATTTATTCTAATTTTTTAATTTTATTCTGTATGAGTGCTAACGGTCACTACATCCCCCATTTTTCGTATTTCCTAGTCAAATAATGAAAATCTTATGATAAATGCTCTAGCTGAGAGCATCGGTGTGGCCCAGCCAAAAGGGTGGATAAATAGTGATTTTTTTTTTGCAATATCTAAGAATATTCGTCAAAAACGCATGTGCAAACACTCCAGAGTGTGGAGATGGCTACATATGGGTTCAATGCTAGTTATTTTGAAATGTCAGTATGTTGAAATAAAAGTATTAATTATTTTTTAGCAAAGGTTGCCTATGTGTTAATTTAGATTTCTAACTTTGTTATTTAACATAAATCATAATTTAATAAATATTTCGTAAAATATTTTTTGATTTAGTTATAAATAACCTTAAGTGTCCGGCACTCGGGGACTTTCCCCTACATATATAATCTCAGGTGAAAATCTGATATCACTTATGCTCGATATCAAGCTGGACGAGGTGGGTATCGAACCTGAAACCAGTGGTTGCTAGACCAAGTTCTTAGCCAGCTTACAGCTTCTAATTTATATTGAAAATAGGCAGATCTTATCTTATAAATACTGCACACCAAAAAACTAACTTCTGTAATTTGTAAATAAATTACAATATGACCAAGTCTCACAATTCATTTTTGCATTCAATAGCTTTGAGACAGGTTTAAAATTAAATTGTTGTTGTTTCCTCAATTACTTTACTTTAAAGAAAACACTAGTCAAATTTCTGTAATCTTTGTAAGACAATATCATTATACCTGTAAAGTGTGCATATTTTAAATTAAACTGAATCGTTTTATTTCAAAGTAAACGACTTGTTTTACCTTATACAAAAGCTGTGTTCTATTTTTGTCTGTTTATAAACAGGGAACGTATAAATAACAGATTTAATGAAACACCAGTACTACCAGTAAGTTAACAATGGCATTGTTGTAGCTTTAATTTGCGCCCTAGAGCTTTCGGTAATGTATAAAATATATCATCGGAGCTTTCAAGTACTAAATGCCAAACGATCAATTCCAATTAAATGCATATTATGTAAATGAAATT